GGACAATTTACAAGTTAAAGTTAAGCCGAAATCATTGTTTAACACTTGTTGAAATTTGTGGACAATTTACAAGCTAAGTTAAACCGAAATTATTATTTAACACTTGTTGAAATTTGTGGACAATTTACAAGTTGAAGTTAAACCGAAATTATTGTTTAACACTTGTTGAAATTTGTGGACAATTTACAAGTTGAAGTTAAGCCGAAGTCATTGTTTAACACTTGTTGAAATTTATGGACAATTTACAAGTTGAAGTTAAACCGAAGTCATTGTTTAACACTTGTTGAAATATGTGGACAATTTACAAGTTGAATTAAACCAGTATGATGTTCAACACTTGTTAAAATTTTACAAGTTAAGAGTAAAACCAAGAAGTTTGTCTATCCGAGGAGTGTCACCCCGAGAAGATTGTACAAAGAAGAAAAAGTATGTGAAAGTCATGCAGAATATTCTAAGTATAGAATCATGCAGAAGCAATGAAAAGAAGACAAGAGTGCAAGCACTTAGAAAAGAAAAGTCACATTAGCATTCACGAAGAAAAGGGCACATCGGCCATACAAAACGCTTACATTGTTCCAAAAGATAAAGAAGAAACAAAATACAAGTAAGCAAAAGAAAAAGATGAAGCTAAGACTCCTCTCCACAAGTTGGTTGAATTTGAAGATCAGATGTTTGTTGAGAAGACATCTCAGCAGCCTTATCCGCCGCGACCTCAGCGTCAATTTCTGCAAGAGTGTCGTCAAGGTTCTTATCAGCAAGGGTGGCATCGGCTGATTCTTTCACATAAGCAGCGTCTTTGTTAACCTCATCGCCTTCTTCATCCCGAGTCAAGTCTAGGACTTGCTCATTCTGAAGAAGGGACTTGACCCCATCAGCATCTTTGGATTTTCTTACCAAAGCCTCATCCTCTTCCTCATCACCATCCTCAGACTCAGATTCGCCGACATCTTGACTTGGAGGTTGAGCTGGAGGGAATGGAAGAGGAATGGCATCATCTTTCCTCAGTGGTGAGTCCTCTAGGACATTAAGTTTCTTTAGAAGGGACATCCAACCAAGGGTGAAACCCTTGTTACATGCCTCCTTCACCTGCTGTTCGTAGGCATCTGTGATGTCGGCCATGCCTTGGGCATACGCCTTCTCATCGGCGTCTTTTATTTCGGCTTCTTTGGTGGCCAGTGCCTCCTGAAGCTCCTTTTCGGCTTGGGCCATTTTTTCCTTGGCTTCTCTCTTCTGAGACTCAGCCACTTTCCTGATAGCCTCAGCAGCCTCAGCCTTCTCTTCGGCATTGGTCTGAGCTTTGATTGCAGCCTCGGCTTGGTCCTCTAATTTTTTCATCTTTGATTGAAGACCTTTGTTGGTTTTTTGAAGAGAAGAGAACTCCCTCTTCATATCAACCAGCTTCTACCGATTTTTGAAAGACTGAACAGAAAAAGAGTGGGCATGCTGGATGGCCTGAAGAAAATACAAGGTAAAAGTTATTTCAAAATTTTCTAAGTATGAAAAAGAAAAAGAAAAGTTCCAGATGAAGGACACTTACTTGAACAGAGCGTTGAAGCATCAACGCATAGTTTTCGTATTCACTCAACTCGGTGTTTCGCTCCAGATCACCAGGTAGCAGCAGAGCAGTGCTAAGCGCAACGCCGACATTAATATCTTCGGCACTATCATTTGCCATGACTGGCTTATCCTCTAAAGTAATTTCGGGAGCCCAAGGGGCAGCAGGCTTCTTAGACCCTGAAGTTGTAGCGGAGGATGACTTCGGCTTTTTGGATTTTGGGGATTCTAATGGTTGGGTTTCAGAGCGCCTTTTCCCTGCAGAGGGTTGAGGTTTGTCACTCTCAGCCAACTTTGAGATAGGCAAGGTATCTTCAGACTCAACCTGAGTTACCTTAGCCTTGGGTTGAGCCTTCTTTATTCTTTTCAACTTCGGTGGAGGAAGGGTTTGTGCTGGTTGATCATCAACAGATGATGGAATGCTGGCTAGAAGATCTTTTGCAACTGGTTTTTGGCGACCCATCTCGACAGTAGAAACTGTTCGGCGTCGGCAGCGGCGTTGTGATATTGGAACCAAGTATGGAGCTGAAGTTGACGGTTGCTCGGCTGGATCAGAGGTTGACCTCTGGTCTGTCCGAGATGTGGATGCGGTCTGTGGCGTTGTGGCAGATAGTGGAGAAAGGCTTTTTTTCTTCCTCCTAGGGACGTCGGGCAAAGCGGAGCTGTATGTTGGAATAAAGTTGAGGAGCAGAGACGCCTTTCGTTTGTGAAGTGGCAAGTTCAGAAGTTTTTTCAAATCCTTGCTGGGATAGAAGGATTGGCAAAAATTCTTTGGTGGTTGAGGAAGAACTGCAAAGATAAAAACAGCACAGACATTAGAACAAGAATATTGAAAACTTTATGCAAGAAGATAAAAAGAAACTTATGAAGGGTGGCCCTTACCAGCTCTTTCCCCCAAAACAGTGCAGCTTAAGGGATAAAGATGGAGGTTGTCGTTTGGCTGAAACTCCCAATTGCCTGAGACAATGAAGTAATCGTCTCCAGCTCCCTTGTTGGAGTTTGGAAGGTCGGCTACGATTTTATATTCGGTGGATCTTGGCTTAAGGTAATAAACATAGTCCGTGTCGTTTCTAAGACGACACATGGTATAACAGTATTAGAAGTCGGCAAGTGTAATCCTGACATTCTCTTGTTTAACTAAGGCTATGGTACTAGTAATAACTCGGTAAGAATTAATAGTGAGTTGCATTGGGTTCAACTTATAGAAGTGAAAGATTTGACGAAAAAAATGGTCAAGTGGAAACCGAAGTCCACACTCAATAAAGGCAACTACAGGGAAGGGCATGGAGTGATCGGTAGGCATGATGTAGTCATCATCCCCAGCCAACCTCAGATTGACATCGGCTGGGATTTCAAACTCTTGCCTAAAAAAGTCTAGCTTAGAAGGGGTGTCTGCCCGATGTTTCCACATACCCATGATATCGGGATAACTAAAGGTATTGGATTTGAGAAAGAAGATGTTTTCGAAAAGGGTTATTGGGACCTCGGCAAAAAACCTAGGTTTGAACTGGTGCAAGAATTTGTAAGGGATGTTTCAATTTTTCGTAAAATGTGGGTACTACATACAAATCCCAAACCTAAAACTATGAAGATGAAGATCAAAGGCACAGATCTGGAAAAGACACAAAAAACAGAAAACAAAGGCGAAGTTTCAGAATCAAGAACAGAGATGGACTATCAAAAACATGAAGAATACAAAGGGTTGAAGGCCAAGAACAGTGGCAAGACGTGCAAGAAAACTATGAACAGTACATGTATTCAAGGTATAAGCAGAAAGTAAAATCAACGCATTCAGATGTATGATTCGCAAATTAAATGTTTGAGCAAGGCAGTAATAACAAGAAATTCCATAAAAAATCAAGAACTGGAATAAGACGAAAACAGTTGCTTACCATAAAATATGAAGCCGGTGTAAAGATCGCCGAAGTCAGACGACGGTCGTAGAGACAACGAAATGATGCAAAACACGCCAGAAGGGGTGAATGAAATAAGGTTCAGAGTAAGGAAGCTTGAACAATGGCGGACTTGAGAAGAGAAAGTTAGAGAGAGAAAAAGTTTTCTAGAAACGAAAATAAGGTGAAAGGAAAAAAAACGAAGAGATGTTTTGTTAAAATTGAAAACGGCAGCAAAAAGTAATCAATACGCCTGGAAGAACGTACGCGTCAGACGGCGCACGTGAAAGAGAGACGGCTTACGGGCGCGTCACAGGTACGAACCAATAAGAAGGAAACGCGTGGTTAAAAACGGTTGAATTAGGGTGTATGACAACTCATACGCGTGAAAGGGTTCTTGAAGTTTTTGTTCTTCAACAAAGACATGTCGGCCAAAATAATGATCTCGGCTGAGATACTAAAAATCGACGTATTGGGAAAACGGAATGATATAGGTTCCATCACCTCAGAATATCGAGGTAATAGAACCTAGGGGGCAGTTGTGGGGATATATTTTTGAGCACCGACATGTGGCAAGGTGACGCCGACGTGTCAGCCAAGGTGTTACGTGTCAGGGTCATAACGCCGAGGTGATCTCGGTTAGGCCGAGGTTAGCTCCGAAGATATCGAAATCCGAGATAAGCGGATAAGAGATAAGGGACAAGAGTCCTAGAATAGAGAGGAGACTTAGCCAAGATAAGAATAAAGCTCTTAGGAAGTTTATCTCTATCTCTTAAGGAGTCCAAAGTAAGTATTAAACAGGAATCCATAGAAGTCAGGCTTCTATTGGGATTAGGATTGAGGTAACTATAAAAGAGAGGCACCCCCGTAGGTCTAAGGTACGCAATCCTATGCTTTGAAAATTGAGTTTAACATTATTGATTATCTTTGAGAGATATACTGACTTGATTGTCGGAGTGCCCCCGGGTGGTCGAAACCACCGCCAGAATCTTCTCTTTCTGTTGCAGGTTAGCCAGGTGTCATCTATTCTGTCAGTGTTCTCCAGCTAAATACTGAGTTGGGCAGTGTGATCAGAAAATCACCCACACAGTTTTGATGGCAATTAGGACTGTTGGTGCCATTGTTCATGGCTCTTCGTTGCCTCTGTTTCTTCGATTCTTCGCCGATCTTGTGAATTCTTTTGGGTCTAATGCAAACAACATTGATAAGATGACACACGAAGTTATCAAGGTAAAAACATGAATTCAATATTGGTTTTTTGTTTTTTTGGTGGATTTGAAAGTGTTTTTTATTGTGAATTTTTGCAGTATGCGTTTTACTTCCTTCTTGTTGGGGCTGCAATATGAGCATCTTCATGGGCAGGTGAGTTATATATATATATATATATATAGATTGATCATTTGGGTATTTGATTCTAGGTTTGTATTTCATAAATTTGCAATGAAATTGAAAGGAATTGAAAAATGGTTACAGAGATTTCGTGTTGGATGTGGACTGGGGAGAGACAATCGACGAAAATGAGGATTAAGTACTTAGAAGCAGCGCTGAATCAAGACATTCCATTTTTCGATACAGAGGTCCGAACTTCCGTTGTCGTTTTCGCCATTAACACTGATGCAGTGATGGTTCAGGACGCCATTAGCGAGAAGGTGAATGAAAAGAAAAACCCCATTTGGTTTCAATGTTTTGTTGTCAAAGTTTTGCAAATTTATTCTGAACAGGCTTGTTTTTTTTTGGGTATGATTTTGTGCAGTTGGGGAATTTTTTACATTATATGGCAACATTTGTGTCTGGATTTGTGGTGGGTTTCACTGCTGTTTGGCAATTAGCACTTGTCACTCTTGCTGTGGTTCCTCTCATTGCTGTAATTGAAGGTGTCCACACCACCACATTAGCTAAGCTCTCTTCCAAAAGCCAAGAAGCTCTTTCTGAAGCAGGAAACATTGCAGAATAGGTGAAAGAAGATTGAAAATTCCAACATTTGTTCATTTTCTACTTACTCAGAAAAAAGTACCCACAAAATTAAATTTTCTCTGTTTTTTCAATTGGTTGTTGCTGATTTAAGCTAACAATGCAGACAATAGCTCGAATTTGCATTGTTGTATTGAGAATGGACATAGTTTCCTTGTAAATTTTCTCTGTTTTTGTATCTGGGTATTGCTAATTCTAGAAGTTTTTAAGCTTGATGTGTAATTATGTAGTGGGATAATTTTGTTGATGTGTAATTATGAATGGAAGAATATTTTATTATGGAGAAATTGTTATTTTTATATAGGAATTTTTATGTTATTATAGAGAAATTTTAATATTTTTAATAATTTTATCGCAGATTTTTTTTTCTTTTTTGTGACGGCACTACACCGTCGCAAAAAACAGAAAATTTTAATTATTTTTATTAATTTTGTTACAGGTTTTACTTTTTGCGACAACACTAAACTGTCGCAAAAAATAGAAAATTTATTATTTTTTTAATACTTTTTGCGACGGTTCTTGCCGTTGCAAAAAAAAAAAGACTATTAGCGACGGTATTTTTTGCCATCTCAAATGACATTTTTAGCGACGGTAAAATAGTGCCGTCGCAAAAAGTCAAGAAATTTCAAACATTATTAGCGACTGTAAAGTGCTGTCGCAAAACATTAGCGACGGCACTGTGCCGTCGCAAAAACTCTTTTGCCACGCCCCCAGTTGCGACCCCCCTCTTGCCGTTGCAAAAAATTTTTTGCGACGGCATTAGGAGTATTAGCGATGACAATTTACTGTCGCAAAAAGTCAAAATTTTAGTAGTGATTGTTTTTAAAGTACAAATTTTCTTATAGTTTTATTTATTTATTTATTTTTTTCCACTTGTTTTGTAATTTTAGAAACATTCCAATTTTTTATTTTTTTTATTTAGATGGGGGAAAACATCCCAATAAAATGTAATTATTTTGTCATCTTTTTATATTTTTATAATTTTCTAAAAAAATAGAAGGCTTTTCCTATAGCAAAAATAAAAATAAAAAGCTTTAAATTTTTTCGAGACAAAACCTCATGCAAGTTACAGTAAAGACAAATCTTTTCTTCAAACATGCAACTTTTTTATGGCATTGCCAATGGGTCCCATGACAAAATTTTATAGGAGAAATATCACATTAATGGTATGTACCAAAAAAAAATAATAATTATAAATTAGTGATATATTTTATAAATATTAATAATTAAAATCACAATTTTTTTATGAATTTATAATTATTTTTTGAGACGTGGATTGAATTATAATTTCTCTAATTTAAGTTTGAGTAGAGGATTGAAATTAAAAAAAAAAGTAAATTACAGTCATCTCTCTTGAGGTTCTTGACAATTACACCGGATTCCTGTTATTTTTTTGAAATTACATTGACCTCTCCTGTGACTAACGACGTTAATGGGAGGGTTAGTTTCGTAATTTTAATATTAGAGATATTTTTGTTGATAACCATTAAATGTGTGATTATCATTTTAGTTATACCTTATATGGTTGTTTATTTATGACTCACTTTTTCTTTCTTTTTTTTTATTACTTATAATTGAAAAAAAATTAGTTATGACATTTGTGGTAATCAACACTACAAATGTCATAATTTGCAAAGGGTGTCTACCATAACATATCTCACTAATCAACCCCATAGATTATGTAGGGTATTAAAATCTTCCATTAATTGTACAATTTAAACACCGCCTTAATTTTTAGATTCATAAACGCCTTAAATTTTAGATTTTGAATTTAATCATATATTTTACAATCTTATTTCACAAGAAAGAAACAATCTTATACACATAAATCTTGTATGCCGTAACTTTTAATTTGATTAAAATGAAATAGTTATACGCGTTACCTTACAAATTTTATCATCAAATTTTGTTTTTGAACACTTATTATTAATTTTATTTTTATTTTTCAGCACTTGGTGTTGGGAAATTGGTTTACATAGGCTTATTTTGGGCCGACTTTGAGCCCAAAATTGAGTGGGCCCCGAACGTCTTTTGGGGCGGGTCCGAAGAGGTGAAGTATTCCTTGCCGTGTGGCAAGTCACACGGTGAAAACAGTTCGTCAAAACCATTTATAAGTGAATGGGAACATGACATCGTTTTCGGGTTTGTGGAATTGAACATTTAAGTTTTAAATGTGGGTTTCCTTGTGAGGCTTGTCCCACATTGAAACTTTAAGAGAGTTTTGTTGAGTATATAAACTCTAGCCTACAATACTTGGGTTGGGCCCCAAGGGGCACCCCAAGTTTGTAGAAGGGGGGAGTTATGGACAAAGTGAACTTTAGCCCAAACCACCACACACGCACACACTGCTGTCCGGCCGAGCGTGGGTGTGGGTCGGGTCGGTTCTAATATTAATTTTTTGGGCAAAATTTATTTGAATTTTAAATGAAATTAAATTCAAAGTTTGTGCCAAATAATTGAATTAATTTTCTATCCATTCAATTCGGAAATTCCAAACCGTTTAACTGCTCAATTTTGCTGCAGTTACACAGATTGGTTTTGAATTTCGGACAGATTTATACAAGTTCTATCTGTTGCAACTGGACAGATTCAAAACTGTCCAAACAATTTTTAATCTGTTGGACAGTTTCAAAGTTCTTAACTGCCCAAACAGTTACAGTTTTGAAACAGTATTTATATCTGTTGTAGCAGGTTCAAACCTGTCCGAAACAGTGCTGCAGTTGCAGTATGCAACAGTCACTAAATCTATTTGAATTCAAAATCTAAATCTGTCCAGTTTTGCACCTGTTCACTACTTGTTTGCACCTGTTCGGGGCAGCCTTTTGTGCATATATATACATGACATTTCCAGCAGTCTTGTGGTTTCGAAAATTAGTCTGAAATTATTACCTTTTGCTGTCCACATTTCTCCTAGTGCATATATTCTTCATATTAGATTTAGAATAAATT